TGGTCAATAGCCCTTTATATCAGTTGACTTTTTTGAAATTATATATATTTATTTTGTTCTGTTCTGCAATAAACATTATGATTATTATTCAATTCGTCGGCTATATTCGGAGAAGCTGCAAATTTTTCAACTTTCGGTTATATAATAATAAAAATAAACTAATATTTCTATCCATATTTTTTTACTAAAATCGATAATGTCATAAAAGTTCGTTCGGTTGGTTTTACTGGTACAATAACATTGATAAATGCGCTTCCTAAGATTCTTTAAATATTAATGTCGCCTTATTATTTTCCTCATTGTTTCTTTTATTTAATATAAGCTTTCTTTTGTTTCGTGTGCTCTCACGAAATATCGAACTTACTGTAGTTTCTTAATATAATTTAATTCTATTAATACGGGATGTGAGTTGAGATTGGTTTTGTATATATTGATGATTAAGCTTGGGTGGTTTTGTTTATTATGAGCCCGGGTGAAAATCCTTTATATTTTATTATATGAAAAATTGATTGATTAATTCTATGTGTAAAGTTTATTATGTGTTTATAAAAGGACTTGAATTCGGAGTACTCAAAAAGGTATAGGAATATCGATGGGATTGTTTACGCTTGGTCCCCTTTGTTTATATTAAAGTGTATCGAACCGGGGTGACGACTAAGAGACTTCGTTGATGTCTCTTATATATGGTTTGTTATACACTCTATTAACAATAATAATTATAATAATGATGGTTGGGTACAACACTGTCTCAACTGGCTATAACCACTACATATATGAATAATGCATATTGTTCATATTCATATTGTTCTATTTAGATGATATATAAATAAAATAATAACACATGGTAATATAATATATTTTTAAAATCAGATGAAACAGAAATTTGTTCTGCGTTAATTTACTGATTTCAATATACAGTAGAACCTGTTTTTGTGGTCCTTTTTGACGTATCTTTGAAATATTTTATAAGTGCGTTTTTTTTTAAATTTCTGTAATATATTGTACAAAGTTATTTTTTTAATCTGTAAGAATTTATGAAATTATATTTTTATAGTTTTTCTGCTCTACATAAAATTATTTATTTATATATAATATTTATTTTATTTTAATAAATAAAATACATAAAAATTTACTACATGACTATAAATTTTAAATTGAATATAGAAAAACGATTTCTAAAAAAGATTTGTTGAACATTTTTTCAATCTTATTTGATTAATAATAATACTTTTTTTTATCAGATACTACCACTTTTCGAAAATAAGATGCATGAACACGGGATGATTTCTGTTTTCACTTATTAATGTATTTTAAAATTTGTAGGATTGGAATTCGTAACAAATTTACTTTTATAATTTGCGATAGAGACGACGAAGACTACCGAACTATTGCTTATAATAATATGAAAGAAACGTTTCTTTTAGAATTTTGAAATAACTTATTCGGCGATAAGTTTACAAGCTAAAGTGAAGGGAATTTGCGAATCTACATTTTTTTCGTTTCGCAGAGTTTCAATTCTGCATCCGCTACGCTTTCAGCTTTCGATAAACGTCAACCTAGGAAAATTGGATTCCGCTTCCGCCCATCCCTCGGCAGAGAAAAAAAACATGCAATAAAAGGGTAAATAACAAATCGGAAAACAAATACGAACAGCAAACTTTTTATGTCCGGCCTGTTGTTCGAATCAGAGAACGTTGATTCTCTATACGCACTGGACACTGAAAAGTTGGACAAATGTCCGTTTAATTGTGGTGTAAGCGACATTAATTGTTTCAGTTGTGGTTGTATTCAGCAAACACTGTGTGTATATATGTGGGGCACTTGTTGAGAGATTTGTGTTTGTCGTAATGGTGCGACCCCCGTCCGCCCCCCACGACATCCGCCCGCTCTGTAATTAATAATAATTGGGGATTGGGATTACGGCGGTGAAAACAGTGGAGGAATTATCCAGTGGAGCGCTGGAAGCCGGTGTAGTTGTGTTGTTGCACAAACCGGAGATTTTCGAGACTAGTTCGCTCGTTGTGACGAGTTACAATTAACGTACGTCAACAGCAGAGGCACAATTTGTATTGTGCAGTGAGGGGTTGGGTGGTTGCATGGTACCTTCGCTTCCTTTCGTTCACAATGTTGGCACCATTTTTGTGCAGCGGCTCCAAATAAAACGCAAATATAATAAATTGCCAAACGCCGGCAACAATAAAATATATAATATGAGCATTCTCGAATCTGAGCGGAAATTGGGAAACTTCCATATAATATGTATGAAATACATGTGGAGCAGCAGCAGCAACTGTAAAATATTTCGGATTGCATAAAGCTATATTATCGTTGTGTAATGATAAATGTAGTAGTGGTTATTATGTGGTAAGATTAATGAACATAAATGGCACCAAGTTAATTCGCGGCTCGCGCTTCTGTGTATATGGGTTTGTTACTACAATGTGCCACACAAACTGGAACGCCAGAGGTTATTTCCGCTACAGAACGGGAAATTGTACGGATTATCAACAACCATTTTCTATCCATTACACCCTTTCCATAAACCACTTTTTTATTAACTGCGCACTATTTTATAAATATAATTATTTTCTAAATAGAATTTCATGTATATCATAAATTACATTATCGGTACATAAAATTTACCATTTTATAATATTTTTTCTAATATCAATTTCATCATAATAATTGTAGATAACAAAAACTAAAATAGAAGATTCTCTTGGTTTTCTCGTTTTCAGGGCTTATTATGCCTTCATATTTAATATTATTTTCTACAAAATATGTCTGTTCTCGGAGTGACTTGAAATCAGAATGGTAACGTTTTCAATTAAATGAAAAATAATTATATGCAACCGGTTATTACTATTACTAAAAAATATAACAAAACATTAGAATTTCTAAACGTTAAACTTAAAAAAAAATTCTCGTTTTGTAAAATACTCGTAATGAAGTTACTTACAATTCAAGTTTCTAGTATTATATATTTAGTTTATTCAATTTAACTAAAAAACGAATAGTAATTAATAAATTGATCATCAATATTATAATAATTATTCATAATTTGTGAGTTTATAAATTAACAATATAATTTTTTGATATCTAGATTGAATACGAAATATGTATCTATATCAGAACGGTGGAAGAAATATTTCTCTTCCGCATGGTCTCATTAAATAGTTAATATATTTTGAAACATTTGTGTCGAAGCATTGGAATTGTAATGGATCGATCAAATCAAAAATGAAAATAAAAATTATTTGAATATTTACGGGATGAATGTCCCGAGCGACACTTAGCAACTAATAATTCCGATTCTATAGCACAATTGATTGCTCCCTGCAGTGTCATCAGCCGATTTACAGCAAATACTTCGTATTGTCGGGTAACAAATATGGTACTCGTTACATGCTACCTAATATGTTAATTCCACGTTTAACTAACAAATAAAATAAAACAATAGATCAGTGGTTCTTAACATTTTAGTAGTCCATCAAATAATATAATCATTAATATTTATTTTAAATTGGTGAACAAATTGTAGTGACAAAAAACTGTGAAATGCTATAATAATTCATAAATAAATCAAAAACCAAGACTTATTATATGCATAATCAGTCAGTAATACTTATTTTAAAATAGTGATTTTATAGTAGTTATATTAAGCATAATAATGAAAACATAAATCCGAAAACGAAATTTAAATAATATTTAATAAAATCGGTAATACTTTTTGTCTATTCGCACTTCAATTGGGTTACTCAAAGCTATTCGCATTAAAGTTGTTTTCATTTAATATTGACCATTCTAGAAAATCCCTTTTTACACAGTTATGTGGAAGCAAAAGGCATATTTTTTCGTAAATCCTTTGTCAATTAAAGCAGAGTGTCATCGTGGGTTGGTGATAAATTGGTATTATTCCTACAATTATAAGAATATTGAATCCATACTTTTCTGCTATCAAGTTCATTATTTGGAAAATATTTGTCAAAATTTCAATTAATTTTTAGAGATGACATTGAATTAAATAATTTGGAAACATTTCAAAAACATTCGATTTTGTTCTTCGAATCGACTTTTTCTCGAAAAAATGTATTGATTTCCTTGCATAGATAAATTTAGTTGGTTTAGAATTTTTGTAGTCGAAATTAATAACCAAATATGATTCTTTATCATTTAGAAATATTTCGTTGCTATGAGTCACATGGATGCGAAATGCAGTGAACAAAAAATGTTTTATCAGATTGTCAGTAATTAAATGTTTGCTAAAGTGTAGAAATTGTTAATCTAAAATTTGGAAAAACTATTTTGTTTTCTAAAGATATGAAAACTTAAAAAAAAACTAAAATTTTCGCGCACCATTTGATAAGAAAGTAATAATATTTACAGATTATAAATAATGCATGTTTATAAGTATTTATATGAAAAGCATAATTACAAATATATATGTATATATTACATCACGTGACAGATGGATCAGCTCATCCATAAAATAGGGATTACACTTCTCTTCCTACCCAACTGAGTCGAGGACAACCGACAGTCACCCGTTAACCACTCAATTAATGATCCCCTAGTTTGATAATTAGTTATCAAATTATAATTTAAACCTTAGCAAATAATTTGCGGAAATGAAAAATAACATAATTAGAAATTATATTTAAAATATTTCTTAGTTTTATTTCTTCAAGAGACATCATTAATTTACTTATTGTCATTAACTGCAAATAATATGGTTATACAATTATAGGAGATAGATAGGGCGGAAAGATCTATAGCCCTTTTTAATAATTAATATTTATTTTTATTTTCTTATCATTAAGTAGCTTTTTTAAGTATGTTTTAACTCATTTAATAAATATTATTAATTTAGTTACATATGATGCGGTAAAAGTATGAAAATTATATTTTGACTTTACAAGTAGATTGCAGTAGAGCTTTGATATTGATTATGTTAAAGAAGGAGTGTAACGTAATAATATGTATCGTGTGTTGTGTTTCAGGTGTTGCATGGGGGGCGATGGGCGGCGGGGCTGGTGAGGGGGGGCTCCGCAGACGGATGCCGCTGAGACGGGCTGGGGGTGGTGGGGTGGCTGCTAGTGCCACGACCCTCGGTGGACGCGCCATGCGATACTACCGACTTTGGATTTATACATGCAACACAGCGCTTCTGGCCGGAGCAATAGCTTTCATGGGAGCGGCGGCACGTACTCTCCTTTTCGACTATCGCCGCTCCCTCATACCTTCGTTGACCCTCTATCAACCAAGCTTCCTATATGCCTACTTGGCTTTAGCCACACAAGGGGGCGCACTCCAACTTCTTGGCTGTGTCGCTGCCCTTCGTCTTTCCGAACGACTGCTGAACGCCTACTGGATGCTCCTGCTCGTCCTCCTCTTCGGGGATGTTGTGTTGGGCGCGTTTTGGGCCTTCCGCTTTGAGAGAGTATGCCAAGAGTTGAAGCCAGCGCTAAAAGCCCGCTGGATGCAGGACTATGGCATCAACGCAGAAATCACGTCGCTGTGGGACCGACTGCAAGCAGAAACCTCCTGTTGTGGACCCACAGGTACTTATACCATTAGATAATTATTTACCAGAGAGTCGAACCGAAAACCGGAATTTTTAACTGAACCGTAACTGTAAGCGGAACGAAAAATTGCTCAATTGAAAAACCGAAACCGGAACGAAATTTTAAATACTGTTTATTTCGGTTCAATTATTATTTTTTCATTAAATTAATTAATAATAGCTTTATTTCATGTGTGCTCTTTGATGGTTGTGCCGGTGCTAGTGTTTTGGTTTATTTATATAGTCATTAAAAAAAATCGACATTGTGTTGGTCGGTCTATTGTGAATAGAATATATAAACAAACAATGTATAAGAGACATTCACGAAGTCTATTTGAATCCTCCGAATTCTTTTTTAAAATAAATAAAACCATCAAGGCCGCATCAATAAAAATAGAGCCTCAATCACCACCAATCATCCACCAACTAAAAAGAAAAAAATTGAAGAAGGGCAAACACAAGTCTTGTGCAACTAACATTATAACAAGCTCAAATTAAAGTGATTAAAAAGGATATTACTGGAAAAATGACTGGAAACATAACAAAGTGCACGTGTTAAACTAGTCACTAATTGAACTCGATTTTAAATTTTAACTAACCAATATAATAATTTTAATGTATGTACAAACATAATATTAATTTTTGTGCAATTATGCGAAAATAAAATCTATTATTTTCTTCTACACACGGAAGGTTGTCGAAAGGCAATTATTTGCAGCGATTCAATGAAATCTTCGATGCAACTATCTCTTGTTAAAAAATATTATATTAACGCAGAAACATCCAACTCTACTTAGACCACTTGCAACTATTAAAAGAAGATATCAATGTTCGTAAGAAATATTTAAGATTATAAAACTATTTGAAAGCGAAACAGCTGACTTTTCCTTGCAACAAGAATTTATTGAACAAAAATAGAATTTTGAATCTAAAATCAATTTTTAAAAATGTAGATTTGCCAAATTTTTGAATTTCAAAGACCATCAATCGGGGCCCCGCTGATTATGGGGCCCTCAAACAAAAACAGAATTCACTCTGTACATTATATTTAATAAATATAAAATTTGGCATCCAATATATGATTCGATTTTTACGATTTAAAAGATTTTATTTGTGTAAATATGCAATATAGAGAATGGTAATTGTTAAGGGGTGGCGTATATGTGAGCTTGTTAGCCAGAAAATATAAAATATATACATGATGTTTATAAGATAGAATAATAAAAAATAAACTTAGTTATTATGGAATGTGTTTATAACTTAGCTGAAAAAAAAATATGAACAGTGGTGTGTGATACGTATATATGATTCTCAAAAGTTCATATTTTATGTAAATACTTACCCAAATATGTTAGATTTATAAGCCTATTTGTCTAAAATTTTCTTTGCACAATAATTGTATTATTTTGTGTAGATTAGAATCGAAAGTATTGAAGGATGTTAACCAAATTAACTAAGAAAATTTTCTTTTTTTTTCAATTTTTTTGGTGCCCCTGTAGCACAACTGCGGAGTTTGAATGTGCTAAAATATTTATCTTAGAGTACCAAACAGTGACAACTTTGATTATTAGTTTTTAATATTAGCCATTTAAATATTTAAATTCTCTGTTAATCTAAAAATTTTTAGCTTAATAAAGTTGAATAAGTTTTAATTTACCACGTGGTAAACGTAAAGATGTTCCTCGGGAATAATTTCAGTTCAGCGGTCTTCGCCTTTTAAAGTAATAATACTTGAAGTGTTTTAGCCATGATGGGTTATGTGCTCGAGAGTGTGTATAAGGAGAACAAAGTAATCAAAACAACTTTGCCTTACTTCACTTTATGTAGGAGTATTGGGCAGAGATTTTATAAGCAATCAATACAGTGAGGAGACGAACGTTTTTAAAGCCATGCGCCTCGCTTTCTACATCATAATCTCGAATAAGAGTTTGGTCCGCGAACGAGATCTGGTATATTAAGATGTTGAATTCCTCACACATAAAAAACTGTAAATAGTTTTCTTGTAATAGAATACATGCATATATAATTAATTCAACCTTTCTCTAAAAATGGTCATTTATATCAAAATAATATCATATATAATACCTTAAAAGTATATATAGGAAAATATAAACATTTTGTTTATTATTAGAAATAATGTTTAAACGATTCATACAGATAATTTGTTTGTTTGTTTGAATTAATTATAGAGAGTATTTTCAGCAGTAACAATCAAATATTTAATATTTATATTGAACATATCGTAAATGTTTACAACATGTTTAGAAATGTACCAAAGGATCAAAAACAATCAATTAATTGTCGATCTGTCCCAACAACATTTAAGAAATTTGATCACTATTTTTGTTTTATCAAAACGGAACAATACTATTGGATTCGAAATCATTTTGCAACCCATGCAATAAATTCTACGAATCACTGTCTCTTCAAATTCGAGAGGAATTTATAGAATTAAGTAATGACGGGACGTTAAAACTTCGCTGAAGTTCCATTCGATGTTTTCTGGATTTCCGTTAAGAAAGAATATCCTCGCATTTCCGACAAAGCCATCCTAACACTACTTCCATTTTCGAACAAAGGCTCACATGAATATGTTATATAATTATATATATATATTGTATAATTAAAAATGATAAGCGGTCATGCTAAAAAGATTTTTACTTGAGGTTGCGCTGTCAAATATCGAGTCAAATATAATACTTTTGTGTTCATTAAAACATGCGCAGTCATTATTTTATAATAATTATTAAATATACTATAGTTTTTATGTATGTATACTTATCAAATAAAAAATGAAAATTTATTGTGAAATTTGTGTATCAAATTAATATCTATATATTTTGATGTGCCGCTGAATTCCAAAAAGCTTTAGTGTGCCGTATGTGAAAAAAGGTTGTGGAGCACTGCACTATAATAGTATATTGTTTACAATAAATCAATTAATTTAATAAACGTGTACATTTTACTATGTATGAAAATAAACTAAGCAAGAATGGGATCTTTTTAAATAGTACACTTTTGTGCGTGGGCTGTTTTATATGGTAATTTTGCTAGTCACGGAATTATTTATTATTAGTCAAGTGATTTTTGTTAAATGTAATAAAATGAATTAAGTTTTAATGTTACCAAGCAATTATTTTTTGTCTTGGATTATATCTAGATGACCATTCTATTTTTTATATAAACGATTTCAAAATTTTAATTGGTTGCTGACCTCTGACCTAATATGACGATACTAATAGCTTTCAAAATAATTAAGACAGTGTTTTTTAAAAAAATGGGCAAAAGTGCAATGATTCTAAAAAAAACATTGAAAAAATATTTATGTTACAATTTAAAAATTAAATTATTAAATTCGTTAATCATATACTTTCAAAAGATCCACAAGCAGCGTACTCGGCATTTCGTTATGTTTAGGAAAAAAATATTTTATCACTAAATGTTGTATTTGATATATTCTAGAATAGAGTAACAGAGTATAAAGATTTCAACTTTCGATTCAACATTTTATGAACACAATTGAGAATAATTCATTGAAGAATAATATAAATATTTATAAGGTCAGAAATACTATGGTCAGTAACGATTTGTACGTATGTGGATCTTTATAATAAATTATTGTTTTAGTTATTAGCTTAGTTTATCAAACATTTGAATTATTTTGTAAATACAATTTTAATTTTTAATAAGTTTGCTAAATTAATTATTGCGTAACTTAATTAAATTTATATATTCTTATTCGACTGACTGATGTAAAATACATAAAAATTTTGTAATTGTAATTTTATTTAAATATTTTATTTAAGCTGGTTGCCGTTAAATCTGGGAGGAAAAGCGAAATCTGATTTTTTCGAAATAATTCGGTCAACGAATTTATTAGCATATGTAAGGCATTGTTCTGAATCACGTGTTAACAATTTTTGGACCAATTAAATTTTGTATGGTAACATCTTCAAATCAAGTTTCTATATAAGTCTTACCGATGTTCTGGAGATGGCCAACTAAGTAGAGCAGACACAAATGGCTCATCGTTGACACTGTGTCGTACAGCCACCACAGATACTTCATTGCGAACAGTAAGATGAACATTTCATCGTTGATGATCACATACTGCACCCCGTTACTAAAAACGACTGATTGAGTTTGTAATCATATTTGCACGGGGTGCTGTTGGATCATTAAAATGCGCACGGTATTTTATTGTACGTTGTAACAACTCTATGATGTAGGGAAATACAATAAAATTCTATAATTTTGACCAATTCATGCACTGAGTATGTAGCCATTATAAAATTTCTTAAAATTCTTTACAATCTACAACAAAAATAAATTAAAAAAATTAAAATCCCAGTATTTTTTAGAATGTAAACATAAACTTTCTTTAAATAGTCCAAAATAGATTGAAGATAACACAATACGATATTTACATGACATTATTCCTCAACTATTATGATGCAAGAATATTAATGTGTTTTTTTTTCTAATTCTAGGTCCAAGTGATTATAATGATAGCAAAGGATGGGAAATGCTACCAGCAAGTTGCTGTGAAGCAGCTCTGAATGGCAGCAGCAATGGTGTGAGCGGCAGCGCGGGCGGCAGCTGCCAGCACCACCAGACCGCCTGCGAGGAAAGACTGCAGTCGTATCTGAGGGGTACCGCCTCTCTGCTCGCCATCCTCGGTTACTGCGTGTTGGCTTTCCTAAAACTATGCTTCCTAGGTATACTTCGGTACGAGATCCGAGAGATGATACAGAAGATTCGGATACTGCGTGCCGAGTTGGAGCTTCCTGGTGTGAATGGGGCCGTGCCAGGCTCGACGATGAGAACGGAGAGCGCAGAAAGCGAACGCGAGAGTCTGTTAATTCGGCCCGAGAGCGCCGCGCTGCTTTCGTCACCGCCTACGCAGACGAAGAATCCCAACGGCAACAACAATTATGAGATGAGGGAGTACAGAAGCCACGATAACATCTGACTAAAGTATCGGCTGGAGGGCCTTTTCAGCCGCGGACGATGGGGCCGCGTGAAGAAGGGCCCCCTAGCTACGCCACTGGACGAGATCTTCCAGCGCAAACCGGCTCCCAGATCTCGAGCAAGCAGAGACGAACCTTGTTGAGTACAGAAGAACTCGTTCCACTTTACGTTCATAGAGCCTATCTTCAATAGCTTTACTACATACAACTAGACTTAAGAGACTGCAGACACCTCCCCAAACACCCAATCTTACACATACCTACCTATCCACTCGATATCCAAACGACACAATACCAATCCAACTACTACTACATATCTTCGACCAGCAGGACATCGCCGATGAATTACCTACATTTAGTGGCACGGCGACAACCAAATATTATTAACTTGGTGCCAACCCGTATAGATGGAACGGCAGAAGTCCAGCCACCATTCTATCAAGCCTACCCCATTTAGGATGCTTCATTTAACGGTCTTGCTGGTGCAGAGCCGTAGCTTTTTTTGAGAAAAAAATAATGAAAAAATAATATAAAAAAAGACTGAGGAAGATAGGAACACATAGCGAGAGATTTAATTATTCTCTAAGAAAAAAGACATTTGGAGGACTTAAGCGAAAATTTAATTTGAAAAAAAAAACTATTATAGAGATTTCGTTTCGTTTTTGGTAAATCCCAGTGCCGCATAAGAGTGAATAAATATATATATACAGTGTGTTTATATGAGCTTATATAAGAAAAAAAATATAGTGCCTCGCCAGTTTAAAGAAAAATATTGAAGATATAATAAACCTATTTAAGTGCTATATACAAAAAATATATATTATATATTCAATTAAAGTATATACATATATGTGTGCATGTACATACATGTATGTATTAGGAATGAAATAATAGGCTTAATGCGACAAGAAACGTATTCGGACCTTAATTGTTTCATTTATGTTTTTGTTTCAATATATATATAAATATATATTTCTTTAGACTGAACGCTGTAGTCGAATGGAAGAAGCTTCCATTAGTTAAATATAAAAAGACTTATTAGTTTTTAAAATTATCAATATTATATAGCATATTATAAATTGAAAATGGAAAAGATTTAGTGCTTTGTAGTTTAATAATAAATCTCGTTTTTTTTTACAGAAATAATAGAAGAAATCCCATCGTTTGCATTTACATAACAACTCATATTAATTATTTCAATTTCGAATATACTTGTTTCCTTATTTATTATCTTTAACAAATGAAGTAAAAAAAAAATAAAAAAATACATGAATCACAGATATCTGGATGCGGTCCAAGTAGTATTAAAATTAAAAATATGATGCATGTGTGTACATATATATGGTACATATAAATATATATACATATACATGTTGAATGCAGATGAATTGTCTGTTTTTGTTCATATTAAACTTAATGTTTCTTTATTTAAAATTAATTACTATTAAAAAAAAACCTATTATGTCCAAATTATTCATTGCAGCTTTAAATCAAAAGTAATAGTTATTATATCAACTGAGTTGCGACATGCTTCAATTTACGCACTACTTATATATTGCTGCAAATTCCTATAAACTAATCCGCTTCTTATAACTAGATTATAAATATAACTAATCCTCTTCATAATGAATCGCTCCCAAATACTTCATTGTTTTTGTGTTTTCCTTCTTCACGAGATAACCATTTTGATTTAAAGCTGAATGAAAGATATGTTATTTATTGAAAAATATATAATGAATATTGTTTAAGAGATTGGCTATTTCTATAAGCGTTACTACTATTAAATAAATAAAGAGTGTTGCTAAACATACTGAACCAAAAGTAATGAAGATTTTGCTTGTCGAATATTTAATATGACGAAGAACATTATATATTTAGTAAAAGTGTAGCGAAATATTTATTTAGTGAGAAAGAGAGATTATAATAAATTACAAGAAGAATATGTTGCATTATATTAAAAAAAGAAAATAAATAAATAAGTATATTGCGAAGAGCTTCTATACCCAAAAAAAAATTAAAAATATAATATAACTAAATTTTAAAATTTGATTTAATTATTTCAATATTAAAAATGTTACATGCTGTGTATATATTAATATTTAATAAAGTGTATTGTTAGAAAAAAAAAACATTTTTAGCCCTTTGTTACCTGAACATTGAATGTTTTAATTGAATTATATTTCAGAATTCATAAAAAAAAATCCAAATAGTAAGTTCTTGAAAATGATTGTCAATAAAAATGACATATCTAGTAGTAATGGTGAGTATACATATATTTGATTGAGAAATACAACAATACCATGCATAGTACCCGCAATAGTAGTTTGTATATTTGTATCATGGGTTCCACCAATATACCAGATTTTGAAAACGGAGATCATGGAACTAAATAAAAGAAATTAATCGCATAAAAAACGACAATGTTTGTATAAAAATAATTGAGTGTACTTATATTTTAGAATTTATTTCATTTTTATATTTTTCAATTAAAATTTAGTTTCAAATTTTCTATAGTAAATCCGTACTGATAGTAAATCCGTACTCCGTTGTCCAAAATGATATGAAAGAAATCATCGAAAAACCTAAAAAAAGTATTAAAAACCTGCCATTTTTTATTTTTTCCAGATTTAATTCAACCTCATTTTATTATATTGTTATTTTGATGCACATATCCATATTTGGGCACAATAATAAATTGTGAGCTGTTGTGAGGTTTTGTCTTAAACCTATTTCTAGAATCTAGATCAACGATCAGTCAAACTGTTTGCCGCGAAAAAATTAAAAATATATTCATTCGGACGCCTTCGTCCTTACAAAGCGATGGAATAAGGAACATCAGCAAAAAAGCTAAAATTATTTTCTTTTTCAAGAAGGATTTAAGGTGACAAAAATTATAAGCCAGTTTTTCTTTTGTTGTGAATTGAAGGAGATAACAATAGGAGATTTCTTTAACCTTGTAAACCAAAACGTCATCTTAGGAACCTAATTCCCTACATTGCAGACTTTTTTCATGCCTATTTGAAACAATGGATTGTGACTTTAAGTGCTCTCAAGAGGAAAGTACTGATACGAATTATTTCTTTGCGAATTGAAATAATATCATTCTTCGATTCCAAAACTTCTGAATTTGATAATTGGTGGCTGAATTTAACATTTTTCTAAGTATTTTCCATCACTTGATAAATCTCAAAAACGCGAACGGTTCCTAATGGTAAATTTGAACTTACGTGTTTGTTATTTGATAAAATAATGTTTTTAAGAATTTATTTATTTTTATTGATAAAGTACTGCTATTATATTAGTTAAAAATATTTTATATTACTTATTACAAAACAATTTAAAATACTATTAACACTATATCTAGCAATATTATTATTTTTTAATATTATATGAAATTATTAAAAAAAATAATATGCAGATAATAGTAAATTATAAGTAATATAAGTATAATATAATAATAGTAATTATAAGTTTTTTTTTTAATTACTGATGCAATAAACATTATTATTATTCGTAAATTTGCTACTAAATTAAATAAATTATAAATTATTTTACATTTGCCAATTACCAACATGAATTTAATAATAATAATATTTATTAAAACAGTAACAAAAAAAAAACATATTTATATAATTATATTAATAAAATAAAAATCATCTTAAATAAATTTATTAAAAAATATTTAGTTTTTATGATTTTGGTAGTTTTGTTATCACTACAATTATTTCATTAACAATTTTTTCGTACGTTTGAATCTGAACTTATATTTGTTGATGTTTTTGTTTTATTTTGTTTTTCCCCGGAATACTTGATATTCAGCTTCAGGTAATTGGAATAAAAATTTAAAACCCGAACATACAAGAATATTGAAAAAACTTTAATTACCATTTGTTCTGCAGTTTCTCGTTTATTTCCACGAATGGTTATAAAATTATTAATTGTTTCTGCTAGCAGTTGTTTTGCTTGCTGTTAATTTAGCCTGTATTAATATTTTGTATCAATGATCAGAAAAAAATGAAATCTTTGCATCCCTTTTATAATAAGTCCTATCTAAGTAATAATATGCGTTCATGTTTGGAATATTGCCTTCACAAATTTATTTATTTTTGATGTCGTAAAATTTTATTCACAATCTGTTCATGAACATTGAGTAAATTTAAGACATTAATGGATAATCTTTCCCGGTGGACAGTTACCATTATGATGATTTGATTTTTTTTAATTTGTTGGTTGGCTGTCGTCTTGTAGGTTAACTTCAGTAGTATATTGATGCTCTGCGATTCCACTATCTCGTTTGACTGTGAATCACCGAGCACCGAGAGGACTCACGAAGGGCATGGCTAGATCAGGATTTGAACCGGCGCCCACTAAATTGTGGATAGGGCGACTTAACCATTAAATTATTAGAGATTGCATATTTAAAAAACCGGTATTAACCCACTATTAAACACATTATTACTCATTTGCGACTCCCCAAATTTACCATAACACATTATGTTGCAAATCTCTAATCGTGCAAAAGCGAATCGTGTTATGCATTGTATACACATATATATATTACATATTATTTAATAACATTGAATAAATACAAATACTTAATATTCGTTTTTACTTACCTCAATATGTTTATCAGAGATTCTGGCACAACGATCTAAGATTGAACCACCGACAACGACCTAGAACATAATCATGATGATATAATTACTAAATATTAAATAAACAACGGTAGATAATTGTTGTAATCATACTGAGAATATTTAAAATCAAATTAATGAGATGGCCGCATTATTAAAATAAAAATTAGAAAATGTTCGCAAAATGACCTTCCTTGTCGATTGTGATAATATCTAATATTAATTTAAACATAATTAATATATAATAATAATTGGATATTTGAATTAATTCATTTAAAAGTTTACTTTAATTAATACGGTCATATACAACCTCCGCAAACTTATAATTATGATAATTCAATCGCAAAATATATCTATTTAATATGCCCACTGAAGTGGGTGTAAATTATAGAAGGTTGTTACATTGTTTTTGAATAAATGCAAAACGTAATTTGATGAGAAGGGAGGTCGCACACATTAATTAGAGAATATTGGCTGACGCCAACGACGCACTCGCCGCTACCTACGAAACCGATCGATACTTTTTATTAATTTCATTTCGTTCTTCGTCATCCCCTTATCCCTTAAGAAGGAGACTTTATTTGCGAACACGCACAGCTCATAATTAGCGAACACTTCTTTCCACGCTAATAATCATACTTTTAACTAGTGCTTTTGTTAATTCTTTGAAAGTGAGGAATCATCTACATCAAAGTTGTAGTATGTTTCTGATGTTTAAACTTGTGGCACATAAGACAAATACAAGAATAACTCGCAAAGTGCGAAATATCAGCCAATATCACGCACTGTTTGAAATCGGAATAATTGTAGAATTGAAATATGTATCGTTAAACTTTAAAAGTCTTTTCCGACAATTGTTATTATTATAACCAATTATGTTAAACATGTATTTAAATGTCTATCGTCCACTTGACCGTCGCCCAGTTGATGCATACAATGCACATTATGATACAAATGTACTCCAGTATTATCCTGAATATAATACAAACATTTTTACTTTTCCTTGTCAAATAAATATAAAGTAATTGACTTACAAAGTAAAAACTTTGAAAATGTTATTAATGAAAATATAGGTTCAAAAAGAAAGAAATCATGAAAATAAGAACTTATTTTTTTATGCGTACCATGCTATTTCAATCAAGTTGGATTGGATTTGTTGTATTAATGACATATTGAAATTGTATCATGTGAGAAACATTGAACAAAATACGTAATTATGTCTTGTGGATACAGATGCTAGTCAGATAATGCTAATGAAGAAAAGAGAATTATGAGAACGAGATTGAATTCGAAAGTATTTCTTACACGGTACACTCGTTCCTAAAAAAAACCATATCACAATGTATACAGTGTATATGAGAAATGAGAAAATTGGTTCTTTACATCGAAATAATTATATAAAAAGGTGGTAATGGATCATATCATTTTACGTTTAAACTACGTAGCTTTTTCATCAAGATCATGTATAAGAAAATGATTTGAATCATGTTTTTAAACTTATATATCAGCCATAATAATATAAATCAGCCATCTGTTATAATTTTCGAAAGTAGTTGTTCGTCCGCAAATGCAATCTTTAATTAGGTGAATTTGATGAAAATAATCGTGTAAAAAATCCATGTAAAAACATTAAAATGAGAAGAAGACTTTTATTTCTAGAAGGTTATAATTAGATACTTAAAATAGCTATTTTACAGAAGTATAGAAACGACTTTGGAATACGAGTAACACGTAAGAGTGATAGATATTGAAGATTTATAATTTCAGATTAGTATGTCATGAAACGATATTTATAACCTTAATCGTTTTTGATTCTAGTCTTTGTCAATTCTTAGTTCCGGCAAATCCGTATTACCGACTGAATCATATATTAGAAATAGATAATTCGCTATATTAAATATTTTATTTACATATACTACATTTTATGTTTTAATTAAATAATACAATTTAATTTTACACATGTACAAAAAATATAGTATCATCTGAATCACGAAACAATAAAATTATATGGTAAATGACATTATCGAAACAATTATTATTAATAATATTGCATAAAATACATTAATAGCGCATTTCTTGTATTGTTTTGAGATTTGAGAAAAAGTGGTTCAAATATATTTGTTCGTCAGTGGCAACTAAACTCAATAAAGGAAAGACTTAATCAAGTATACTGTGGGGGTTTTAATAACCGCGCAAACGTATCCGCCTGTTATGTAATTATTGAAAAACAGATTAGATCATTAAACCTACCACATCACTGGATCCCACTGGTCTCGATTTTTCCCTCTCCAAATCACTCAAGGCTATCGCAATTTCCGCGGCAACTTTTGCATTATTCCTCACGAGCGCAATATCTGAGCAAAAATCGAATTAATTTAGTTTGCATAGTTTATTCTATTTCACGTATTATTACTCGATTCGAGCGATCTACCATTGGTCGCTTTAGCTAGATAGGATAACAGGAAAGGGGTGATATCTTTTCCAGACACATCCTTTTGTTTTGCCAGCGCGAGAGCATCTTCGATTGCCGCCTCGATTTCCGTTCCATCCATAGAACACTCTGCTGGAACCGGAACTGCGAACAGCATACCGGAATTTAAATTCATTTCCCTGTTGCTCTCTATAACTAAAGCTGCTTCGGCAGCCGAGGACACGCTGTAAGGAGCCTCACATCCGCTTTCCGTGGCGTAGAAGGCAGGAAATCGTTTTGTCGGACCGTACGTTGCAACGAATACACCCTGAGTTTCCTGTAACCATTAATTACATTGAAAATCAACCTCAGTTTATCTTTCTATCTAATACATATATATATATATATATAATATCATACCAAATATTCTAAAGTTTTCGGAATATCCAATATCGATTTCACGCCACTGGAAACGACAGCCATGGGC